GACAGGCTGTAAGGTCGGTGTGGAGGTGTGTGTTTATATTAGGCTAAAAGACACTGGCCCTGGGATGCCCGGGTGGGTCAGTGGTTGAGCATCTGCCTTTGGCTCAGGTTGTGATCTCGGGTTCCTGGGATCGAGTCTCACGTTGGGCTCCCTGCGGGAGCCTGCTTCTCCCTCTACCTATGTCTCTGCCTCTCTCTCTGTCTCTCATGAATAAATAAATTAAAAATCTTGGAAAAAAAATAAGACATTGGCTCTTTCCTCATCTGGACTCCCAGAAGAGGGGCAGTTTTAAACTTTGGAAAATAAGCACATTTTTTAGGAACTTGGTGCTCAGAAAGGAACTAATCTATATGGGCAAGAGACACCTGTGTTTTAGCAGCTGTTCTCTAGCCTGCTCCCTTCCTCTCCACCCTCCCCCACCGGCAGGTCTTCCTCCTAAAAGGAGGCTTTTCTTCAGCCAAGGACAGGGTGCCCTGCTCTCAGGTCTGTTCCCATAGAGAAGAGCCTTGCAGCATCTTTTCCTCAGGGGCACACATCAGTTGCTCCCATTCCCATTCCAAAAGGGAATCTGAAAACCAAGTTGTTAGTAAAGGCTGAGGGGGCCCCTTCCTTTAGGGCCACAGGAGAAGCTTTGGGCATGGGAGGAAGGAGCAGGACCCAGAGCTTGGGGTCACAGAGGCAGGAGCCACAGGGGTGCTCCCAAGCAGGCCAGGCTGGCGGAGCCAGAGCTTGTACCCTCTCTGTTGCTCTAGCTGCTTGTCGAGAACTGCTGCCCCACCTGGGGGACAGCTGGCCCTGGGGATGAATGCCAGCACTACTCAATGAGCAACTCATTTTTCATCCCTGAGTCTCAGTCTCCTTGTCCGTAAAATGGGTGTAACAATACTTGCTCATAATACTTGAGGAAATCGGCACTAAGCATCCAGCAGCACGTGGCTGTTGTTTTTGTTCATGGGTATTGTTAGTTTGGCCAACTAGTCTACTTGTTCGAATCTCCGTTCTTAGGTAGCTCATCCTGCCCTCTCTTCTAGGGAGCCTTAGTCTATTGGGGCTGCTATAACAAAATATCATAGACTTGGTGCTTATAAACAACAAGCCTTTACTTATCGCAGTTCTGAATGCTGGGAAGTCCAAGATCATGGCACTGGAGATTTGGTGTGCAGCGAGAGCCTGCTTCCTGGTTCATTGATGGCCACTTTCTTTCTGTGTCCTCGAAGGGTAGCCAGGGGGAGAGACTTCTCTGAGGTCTCTTTAATAAGGGTATCGATGTCACCATGAGAGAGAGCTCTGCTATCATGACGGTAATCACCTCCCAAAGGCCCCACCTCCACAATCACCCCCTTGAGGGTTAGGGTTTCAACCTATGAATTTGTGGGGAGGACACAAACGTTCAGAACATAGCAGGGCCTGAGCAAATGGCCCTGATAACATTGTGGGGAGAGGGGATACTGTACTCCCCCAGTACATAATCTCTCTTCTCTGCCAGCCCATCTCTCTTCTGATAACTTTTTGAGCACCTACCATGTGCCAGTCACTTCACTGGACACTTGGACTGACACATTTCTATTGCATCAAACATTACTGGGCACCTACTATGTGCCAGGACTTGCGCTAATGCTGGATATCCAGAGATGAACGAGGAGAGATGCCTTTCCTCAAGGAACCCACAGTCCAACGAGGGAAAGTAATAAGGACAGTGATAGAACACAGTAAGTGCTTCAATTCATTCCATTTCTTATTTTAAAGAAGAGTCACCGAGTATCTGGTAGGTGCCAAACACTGTGCTGGGTGCTGTGGGCTATAAAGAGGAGTAAAACAAGGCCCCTGCCCTCAAGGCACTCAGAGGCCATGAGAAAATTGAGAAATTAACCAGCAAACATTCAAGAGGGTTCCAAAGTACCCAGATGGCCATAAGCACAAGGGACGGGGGCCCTGAGAAATTGGGTGCGGGGAATTATGGAAAGCTTCCAGGTGGGGGTGACCCCTTCACTGAGGCTCTGAGGGTGGGCAGAAGTTGGGAAATCCTGGAGGAGAACTAAGTTTAGGGGAGCCTTCCAGAGCCCTTGCTGCTGCCTAGAGACCCATGCGGTCTTGAAGGGGCAGTGACGGGCAGGGCTGAAGAGATGTTTCTTAGAGATGAGGCTATCTGAGCTAGGCCCTGAAGCATGAGTAGGAGCCCAGCCAAGCGAGGTAAGTGAGGGGGCCTAGAGAGAGGGGACCTAGTGTGAAAGGCAGAGAGGCACTTGCAAGAGGTCCAGTTGGGAAGTAAGCCGGAGGCAGCCCCAAGGAGGCTTCTTAGATGCTTAGAGTTTTGAGGACCGGTCCTAGGTGATCAGGGACCAAAGCATGGGCTCAGGGATGAGGTCATATAAGGGTCTGAGAAAGCTAATCCTCTGGAGATGGGATAAGGAGGGAGGGAAAGATGTTAAATTGTTAAAAAAAAATAGAATAAATGAATGAATGAAAGGAATCAGACCTTGGATCCACCCAGACACTTACTTACAAGATGAGTAGACAGATCTTCCCAATGTCCAACATACAAGCTCCCCGCAGCTGCAGGCCGCTTCCACAGAAGAACCAGGGCATGGCGCCCAGTATCATTCATCACTCCCAGAGACAGAACCAGGAAGGGTTTGTGAACACTGAGCATTCACTCTGCTGGCTCTCGGATCTCCAGTCAGGTGAGAAGGAGGCAATTATAACCCAGGGTACGGCGTCCCGAGATGAGAGGTACCATCAGGAAAAAATCAGAGGCTTTGGGCCCCCGGGAGAGGTTCAGTAACCTGCCACCCAAATGCCTCTGGGCCCAGAAGGTCACCTCTGTCCCTGGATACTCTCCTATGCCCAACCCAGACTCGGGTGAAGATTTCAGGCCAGGTATTAGGAGGTGCCTGCAGGCAGCACTAGTCCCCTGCTGCTGGAAGGCAGGACAGGCCAAGGAAGGAAGCTGCAGGAGGCTGGGGCTCCTTCATGCTGGGAACTCTGAGAGCCTCGTACACACCTCTGAGGTGTCCCATCCCAGGGGCAGGAGCTGGCGGAGTTGTCCATCCACGTCTGTCCAGCCATGCTTGAGAGCTGCTCCTACGGGTGCCTAGCCTGCCCTGGCCCGACACAAAGATCTCCTCCTGGTCAGAGAAAGCCCGCTGGCAGGATGGAAGCGGTCTTTTCGGGGCTGAGGAGGGGACTTCAGTAGCATCTGCTTATCATAGCAGGGTTGATCACGATTGTAATTGTCATAGAAATGGCTCCAATAATTATTTGTTTAATGTCTTCTCATGCCCAGGACAGGATCTTCCTGAGGGTAGAGGCAGCATTGCCACCTTCTCCCTGGGACCTGGTTCAGTGTCTGGCACATAGCAAAGTATTCAATAGGTAATTATCAAAGAACTGTAATTCGGAGGCTGATTAATTCATGGCAAACGCCCAGCTCTGTCTGAATACCTTCCCTAGCGTCCTCCCCAGCCCCCAGCCCTGGTACAGCAGAGCCTGCAAGTTGTTTCTCGGTATTGGAATCGATTATCCATCTATCCATCTATATCCATCTATATATCTACACCGGATTTTGTCTTCTCCTAGAGTAATATAAACCCCAATATTGAATCTTGCCAGTGACTGCCTGGGACAAAGGGAACTTTCCCCAGCCTTCTTTACAGCGAGCGAGGAGTGCCCATGCATTCAGAGCCTCAGATCAATGGGTGTGGAACTGATCGCTGCCACTTTGAGGATGTGTCCTTAACCCATGGAGGCGCACTCCTCCCCTTCCCTTCCCTCCTTCCTGCTGGCTGGAATTTGGATATCACAGTGGCGGCTGGGGCAGTATCCTTGGATCACTTGGTGGAAGGCCTGGGCCATAAGAATGGTGGAGGCTAGAAGAACAAGGGAAACCCTAATGGTCAGGCAGTCACTGCTCCAGCCAGAAGCTGAATCTCTGATCTTGTTTTATAGGAGAGCCCTTGGTTACCCCATTGTTATGTGGGTTTTTCTGTCAGAGGCAGCTGAACAAGCTAATAAGCCTAAGTGGCACATGAAAGGTAACTGCAGACCGCCTTCTGGGCAAGGGAGGGAACACCAGAGTCCCAGGTAGTGGAGGTAGAGCTTCCTGGAGAGGGGGGGGTCCCTCCTGCTGGACGGGAGCCCCGGCCTCCTCGCACTGGCTGGCTCCTCCCACCTCCCACCACCTCCCCTCCCCCGCTACCCCCCACCCTCCAGTCCTTCCAATTTCCCTCAGGGCTTTGAGAAGTTTTGTTCTGTCCCGGAGAGCAGTTAATCTCACAGACCCTCTTTCCCTTTGGAAGGATCCAGACATGCCCTACGGAGGGTCCAGGACTGCGTGCTGCCGCCAGCCCCTGCCCACAGGGACCTCGAAGTTCTCTTGAGGCTGGGGTAATCCCCTCTTCCCACCTCTACTCCTTAAGGGCCCCGGGGAGGCAAAGTCCGTGCACCCAGCGCCGTCCGCCGCAGCTGGCTCTAAGGAGGGAATCGGGGGTCGCCTGTGCACCTCCCGGCCCGCAGCCCCCGCCCGCGCTGTTTGGGGGCGGGCGGCGGGTACCAAGGCAGGTAAAATCCGGAGTCCCCGGCGGGGGACAGAGATACGGGAGGCGCAGGGAGCCGCGAGGGCCCGCGCTGGCAGAGGCGCGCGTCCTAGGAGCCAGGGAGTCGGAACAGGGGCCACGCGGCCGCGGGGGTGTGTGCGGGCGGGGGCGGGCGGGGGCCGGGGCCGGGGCCGCTCTGGACGCCCCCCAGGGCCCCGTTGATCCTTTGGTCCCAGGCGCGCCGCTCCGCCGGCCCCCGCCTGGCTCTCCCGCGGCGGCCTTCTGCAGCGAGCTCGGGGAGGAGCCGAGGACTTGGAGCGGGGCGACCCCACTTTGCGGGACCCCGCCGGCCCCTCCCGCGGGCGGGGCGGCCCCGCGCCGGCTCCTCCCCCGCCGCCGGCCGCCCGGGATCAGTCGCGGCGCGCGGTTCCGCAGGTGGCAGCGATGGCCCGGCCCTGAGCGCCCGCCATGGCCCGCGCCCCCGGCCCGCTGTGCCTGGCGCTGCTGCTGCTCGGGGCGCTGCGCGCGGCCGGCCCCCGCCCCCAGGTGAGCCCCGCCACCCCGGGGAGGCGGGAGGCGGGAGGCGGGAGGCGGGAGGCGGGAGGCGGGGGCCGGGACTTGGGCGAAACTCCGCGGCCCGGGCGGGGCGGGAGTGGGGCGCCCGGAGCGGGGCTGGGGCTGGGGCGCCCGGAGCGGGGCTGGGGCTGGGGCTGGGGCTGGGGCTGGGGCGCGCTGTCCCGGCCCCGCCCCGCCCCGCCCCGGCCGCCGGCGCCCCGGGCCACTTTCCCAACTCCCGCTCCCCGCCGCCTCGTGCCCGCGGCCCCGGGGCGCCCCTTCCCCGCCCTCGCCTCCCCCACGGCGCCGCGGCTCGCCCCTTCCCCGCCCGAGACCCCGAGAAGGCCCCGGGAGGACGGAGAGGGCCGGGGTGCGGACACCCCGCTCCATCCCCCCGTCCCCAGCCACCCCCCCACCCGCCCCAGCACAGCCTTTGACTCATAGCCCCGGGGACCCTGCGGTGGCAGCTTGTCGTCCTTCTTCCTGACCTCCCAGATGGAACTCGAGTGCCCCCCCCCGCCCCTGCGGCACACACGTAAGAGGCTCTCGGATCCTCTGGAAGCAGCCAGGCCCCCCACACACACCGGTCCGACCCCCCATTCCGCCTCACCTGGCTGACAACCCAGAAGGCATACTGGGACTCAGAGACGCCCGGTGCGCCCCGGATGCCTGTGGCCCGCGGACCACGGATGGACCCCGCAGCCCCTCCGCGCAGCCCTCCCTGCCCTGCGGGCCTTTCCTGGCTCCGCGATCCTGGCCTGGGGGCTGTAGCCCGCCTGCCGCTGCCCGGGGAGTTGTCGGACGATGTGGTGAGATGCTAGAGCAGGAGAGGAGGCTTGGGTGGCCCGGCCGGTGTCAAGGAAACCATCTCTTCCTCCCGTTCCTACCCCAGACCTAAAGAACTGAGAGCTTTGGGGAGTGGACCCGGACAGGCCTTAGAATGTGTCCCAGCACAGATGAGGGGGCTGGATGAGGGGCCATTGCCTAGCCGAAGGCTGACACCAGCCTGATTGAGAATCCAGATATGGACAGATGTGCCAGCCCATTTTTCAGCACCCCCCCCTTCCCCCTATTCTTTTCTGGACTCCTTCCCTCCCTGTTTCTGTCCCCCAGCTAAGATACCGACCCTAGCCACGGGAGACACTCCCACTTCCCAGGCACCTTCCCCCAGTCCCTCAGCCAGGTCTTGACTTCCCTGGTGTACTTGGCATCATTCAGGAGCCAGGACTGCAGGCACATTAGCACGACCGCCTCTCCGGCTCACCTTTACTGCCTCCGGGCTGGGACTGGGGAGGAAGGCCCTGCTGCTGGCTCCCATGCTGCTCCAGGCCCCGTTTGCAGACCTGGTATGGATTAAGGGATGAGGAGAGGTTCTGGAGGCTGCTTGTCTTGTCCCCCAAAGTCCCTTTTCCCGGAGGAATCTGGCTCCTTGAACCTGCCCTTACTTCTGATCCCTTCACCCCTCAGCCCTGGGCCAGTGCAAAAGCTGACGATCCTGGTGCCCTAGCAGGCCTGGGAGGGCAGAGAAGGGCAGAGGAGCCAGATGAGAGGGTGGAGCTTTCAGGGGATGCTCTCCTTGGGGGAACTGAGCATCCCAGGCCACCACAGAGATCTGAGCAACGGGGCTGAGGTGACACTGCAGTCCTTGTGACACAACCCTGTGCCCACATAGAAGACTTTAAAAATGGGTTCCTGTTCATGAGATCAGCAAGACTAGAGTTACTCCCTCCATGTCACCGACAGGGGACAAAGGCTCAGAAAAGGAGAGTTTCTGGACAGGATGACCCTGTCATTCAGGAACAGAGAACGGGGTGAGAAGTTGGGTGGCTGTCTAACACCTGCTTCCAGGTGGGAAGGACCCAGAGTGAGCTGCCCACTGTCAGGTCTGGCTGGGCTGGCAGCCGCTTCCTCACAGGCAGGGGGATGGCCAAATTGACCTCTAAAGAAGGGGGCCTAGGACACTCCTTCACTGTTGCTGAAAGGACCACCCCCTGCCCCTACTCCTTACCTCCTCGGGACCCCTGTGAGGGAACTGGTCTAGGAGGAGACAGGCAAACCTTTGATACCCCAAATTAGAACCAGCCAAACCTGGGCTCAGATCTCCGGCCTGCTATTAGCTGGTGATCTTGGGTAGGACAACAACCATCCCGAACCTTGGTATCCTCGTCTGTAAGCAGGAATCACAAGCTCTGGCCCAGAAAGTTATGAAAAAGATTGAGACACCGGACCCCTGAAATGGCACGTGGGGGAACTGACTCGTTTGTCCTCCAGAATCTGGAAACTTTCTTCAGGGCAGAGTAAGGTGTGGAGAGGGGCTGTCGGAAGCCTGATCCTCTGCACTCTAGTGGAGGGTGGAGGGAGTCTGGGGAGCACGGCGGTCATCATGGACTTTGTTCTGAGCTGGGCTCCCTCCCGGACACGGATCCCAGGTAGGGGCCGGGCCAGGAGCCACCAAGAAACCACATCCTGCCCTCCGATTCTTTGCTCTGAGGAAACACAGGCCCTTCCTTAGCTGTAGCCTGGCCCTAGGCAGATTCCTCTGAGTGAGTGTGTGTGTGAGATAGACACAGAGATAGAGCACAGAAACAGAAACACGGAAAGAGAGGGAGCAAGGGGAGGAGGGTGTGGGTTTCATGAGCCCCTCTCTGCCTATTTGTATGTGATCCTGTGTGTGGCAGTCTGCTGCCATACGAGTCACCGTGTGTGAAACATCTCAGCATGGAATTGTGTGTCTGACAGTGTGCATGTGTTTGCAACCCCATGTGTGATACTGTGTCCATGAGAAGGTCTGTGTGTGTGTGTGTGTGTGTGTGTGAGAGAGAGAGAGAGAGAGAGAGATTGTTGTGTAAATGGGTGTCTGCCCATATGTGGGCAAGAGCGTGCTTATGACAGTGTGTGACTGTTCCTCTGTGTGCATGTGTGTGACACTGTGAGTTGAGGATATGCCAGTTAAGGAGTCTGTGTGTGTGTGTGCATGTGTTTGTGCTGGGGGCAGTGTCTCAGCATGTGAGTGAGCCCCAGACAGCCTGTGTCCCTGGGGAGGGGGGAGAGACTCTCGCGTCTCAGTATATAAGCAGGTAGGTGCTCAGTGGTGTGTGTGGTAATGTGTGTGACAGCATCTGTGAGGGTTCCTGTGCATAGGACACCGGGTGTCAGTTTTGCCTGCCCTCTGCTCACATATCTGGAGCCCATAAGGACAAAATAATGAGGTCAAAGGCCAGGAGCTTGGCAGCCCCACCCTTCCTGGGCGCAGGGGCCAGGGTGATGGTTTGGGCACTGGGAGGCAGGCGAGGAGGAAGGAGGTGGGGGCCTGGGGAGAGATGGGGGCCACGTCAGTTGGGAGGTCCCAGAGCTGTCCTCGTTGCAATCTTTCTCCTGTGGAGTCCTCTCCCAGTTTTCCTGTCTCGGTGGCCCAGAGAGGCCAGGGTCTCATTCCTCCTTCCCTCAATCAAAAAAGGTTCCCCGAAAAGGGAAAAAAACTTGTTCACCCTGAGAAATACAACTGTAGGAGAAATTTTTCAGGTGAGCAGCCAGTCTTTGGAGATGGAGTGCCTTCCCAGGGCTGGAAAGCCCGTCACCCACTTGGCAGGATGAGCACTGGGTGTTACACTATATGTTGGCAAATCAAACTTCAATAATAAAAAAAAAAAGAACCCCCCCCCCCCCCGAGCAGCCGCTCCATCTCCATCCTTCCCTGTCTGCTCTTCCTTCCAATGCTGCCCACTTGTACGGGGCTTGATAATTCATAAAGATGTTCACCCACTTTAGGTTGCTGGGTCTGTATGGCAACTCTTTGAGACAAGTAGTGTGCCCATTTTACAGATGAGGAAACTGAGGCCCCAAAGGATTAAAGGGCATCCAACCAATCCCACATTAGTAGCCAGAACTGGGATTTAAAAACCCAGGACTTGTGGGTCCCTGTCCAGTGCTCTCTCCAGCACACCACTCCCTCCTGACATGCTCTTTCTCACCTCCTGCTTCCTCCTGCAACTCCTGAATCTGAGAGATGCCCCTCCTTAGGATAACCTCCACCTGGGCATTGTCTCCATTTTACCCCCGCAGCCCCTTCAGAGAGGTCTCACAAAGCCCGGCAAGGCCCGATTCTCGAAACTTCCAACCTGCCCTTGCCCTGACCCTTAGCCCCCACCGCTAACCTCTTCTCTGGGCCAACTCTGCTGCCCTGTGAGGGGCAGGAGCATCCACCGCTGCGTCCTTCCCATCACAAACACCCGCAACTCCACCCCATCAGTCTTGAAGCAGGGACTCAAGCCATAGGAGGATGAAATGGGGCTGGGGGCTGGGGGACAGGCCCCTCCTCACAGTTCTCTGCCCACAGACAGGGAATCCTGACTATCCCCACGTGGGCTTGCTGCTGGCCACTGCCACACTCGAAGCAGAATGATTGGCCCTTGGCCTAAAAATATGTTCGTTTCTTCCTGGGGGTTTTTGATCCTGGAAGTGAGGGAAGAGTAGCACCTAGTCTCCTCAGGAAGCCAGGCTGCCCTGTGCACCTGGTCCTCTCCCTTCTCCCGTAAGCGCAGAAGTCCTGAGAAGGGCTGCATTGACTGCACATTTTCCATGTGCCAGGGGCCCTTCTAAGCACTAACTCACTTAATGCTCACAGCAATCCCGAGGTAGGGGAGAGGTAGAGACTATTCTGATTCCCACTTTGCACATGCGTAAACTGAGGCAAGAAGTTAAAACTCTTGCACAAGGTAACGAAGTTAATTTATGGGGAAGCCAGGGTCAGGCCTGGATCTGAGCCCAAAGCCAAGGCTGTTCACCCTCCACTGTGTTAGTCTGTTCACCTGAGAAATTGGGTCCTGCTTACTGGTGGTCACCAGCCTTGTCCCAGACCAGAGCCTCGTGTCCATCCCAGTCCTGGCCACTGCTCTCTCCTTGGTCCAGAAATTCAACCAGAACACCAGTACGTGGCTTTTCTCTGCAGGCAGGAGTGTCACCATCCCCACTTCTGCATCCTTGTCCCTGCTGGGCTGTCTTGCCGCAATGCCAACCCTCCACTCTTGCTAGCCCAGTTTCATCCCCAACTCACAGGCCCCAGAGTCCCCCAGGGCTGAGTCTACACTGAGCCTGGCCCCAACCACCCCCTGAGCACTTTCACCTCTGCTTTCTCTGTTTTGTCCTGCCAACCCCTTGACCCCACTGACCTCCAATCAGCCTGGGGACTTTCTCAGGCCAGGCCTCTGTCTTTCTGCTCTCTGTTCCCCACCTCCCTCATCCTCACTACTTCCCAGAGTCTGGCGCACACTGTGGCTCCCATAAACACCAGGTGAGGGAGAAGCAAGGGTCCCCGTAGTTCGTGCTGCTTGTGTGTGTGAGTTGAGGGGTGGGGATGGTGCAGTGAGAAGTTGGTGGAGACCTTGAGCTGGGGCTGGAAGAAGACAAAGGACCCCTATTGTCCGGAAGCTCTCTATCTCAGGGGAGAAATATTCCTTGCCCTCAGGGAGCCCCAGTCTGAGGGGAGACACAGTCCTGCCCCCAGGGACTTCTAGTCTGAAGATAGTTTTTTTTTTTTTAAGATTTTATTTATTTATTTTATTTGAGGGAGAAAGAGAGCGGGGGGGGGGGGCAGAGGGAGAGGGAGAAGCAGCGCCCTCCCTGCTGAGCAGGGAGCCCAACAAGGGGCTCGATTCCAGGACCCCAGGGTCATGACCTGAGCAGAAGGCAGACACTCCATTGTGCCACCCAGGCGCCCTGAAGATAGTTTTCTATCAGCAGCTCTGTTCAGAGCAGGTGACAGGACTGCCTCTGCCTTGAACCTCCCTGGCGTGTTCGCGGCCAGGTTGGCCATCACAGTGCTGTCCTTAGCCTTTAACCTCACACCTATGCACGCCCCGAGACTTCTGGTTTCCACAGGCTTCCTTTCCCCCACTCCCTGCCACAGACACACCTTCTGCCCTAGTTCCCAGCTGTGACCGTGACCTTCTTCCTTCCTGCTTTCCTTCTAGAAAGAGAGATGAAGATTTCTCCCTTGCCTTTCTGCTTTCTGTCCTTTTACCCGCAGCTGCTGCATGGGGGGGGGGGGGGAGGGAGGTGTTGGGGTGTTGAGGGCGGGTATAGAAGGAAGAGGGCTATGGTGGGAAGTGGGGTTGATCCACCAGGACTGACTCCAGTGAAAAATTCTGTTGACCCTTCACTTGTAGCTAAAATCAAGACACTGCCTTCACTACTGTTGTATTTTATTCCTTGTTCTTGTATTTGTTTGGTTTTTAAACAAATCACTTGAACTTTGCCCCCAGAAGAGCTCCTTCAGGTGGCACCACCTGGGCCTCAGCACACTAGCTCAGAGAGCAGAGTGAGAGCGGAGCATGGCTGGGGCTCAATCAAGTTTGTTCCCTTCCAGAGGCTTCCTATGTGGGCAGAGATGAGCACATGACAACCTGTGTCTTTATGGGAGGTGTCTTATAAACCATGACTCAGCTGAAACCAGGGCAGGATGACCCAAAACCAGATCCAGCATGTGCTCATGGCACCAAGTCAAGGGTGCAAGCTTCTAAAAATAAGCTATTTTAATTTCAGCACACATGTAGATTTTTGTGATTTCAAAACTTGAAATTCTGTTTTGAATTATGTATAGGCCCTAAATTTTGTACAAGGGGCTCCCTGGTCATTGTAGCATCTCCAGCCTCCAAATGAGGAGTATTTATAATCTTATGCCTGTTCAGGAAAAAAATGCAAAGAAAAAAAGAAACACGTCCCAAGACAGAATCAAAAGTGAACAAAAATGTTCAGAAGGGACGTTTCTCACACGGGTGGGTCTGTTTAGGTCTCTATGCTAAAAAGCCTGTTGTGTTTACCTTATCTAAAAGTGGAGGTTCATATCCGCTTACTCACAGATAACGGGAGTCATCCCATTGCAAGCTGATCTCCCTATTCTGGAACTTTTCTGACCCCATGTCCTCAGGAATTCTTCAGTTGACAGAAGCTGGACCGAACGTTTGATCTCTACTGTTCTCTTAGAACGGGACAGTGGGGGATCCTTTTGGCCTCCCAGAAAACGACTGCATGTTCCAGGAGAGATGCTAATGATGTAGCCTTACCAGGCTCCGCGGCATTGAATCCCACCACACCACATGCCTCGCGTACTTCATCACCGTCATTGCTCCGGGCGACTCAGAGTCCTAGCCTTAGCCCTCTCTGCTCCTTGGGACGCTGCGTAACGTCGGCTGAGTCTCTCTCCCACCCTGGGCCTACATGTCCGCTTAGAGAATGGTCGAAAGTGCAGGAACCTTGCAGGCAGGCTGACTGGACCCCGGGAAAGGAATCTGTGGCAATAGTGAAGCCTTGAGCCCACAGGAACTCTGCCTCCTAGGTGAGGCCAGAGGAGACCATGAATGAGACACACACCCTTCCCCTCTCACCCACTCACTGCCCAAAACGCATCATTTCAGTAGACATTTGTTGGCCACTTATTACGCATCAAGCTACGCACCTGCCTACGGGAGGCATAAAGATGTCAAAACATCCCCCAGGAGCCCCTGTGTGGTAGCGACACAATAACTTGCTGAAGCAAGTGAAGCAATAACTCGCTCTGCCCCTCTCTCAGAGATAGCCAATGCCTGGTGGAGTTTGGGGCTCTAAGGTCCCCTGGAGATGAAGAAACCAAGCCTGTGGCAGCAGGAGGTAAAAGAGAGGTTGGCTGGACCCAGGAGCACTCCATTTCTCCCTATCCCCCCCGACAGGGTGCCACTGTGTCCCTCTCCGAGACAGTGCAGAAATGGCGAGAATACCGACACCAGTGCCAGCGCTTCCTGACTGAGACTCCACCTCCAGCCACAGGTGAGTCCAGGTGGGGCCCTCACCCAACCAATTCCCTGGAGACTTTGAAGCCCCACCTCCACCCCAACCGCATCCCCACCCCAAGCCATGCTTGGGCCTCCCTTACCTCTCCAGGATGCCTCTAGCTTGGGGTGCCATGTTATTCCCTCCCACTTCCAGCTTGAGCCTCTTAGGAGCAGTGACCTGGCCTTGCCATCCTCTGCCTTCCTTCGCACTTCCTGGCCTGTGCCGGGGCTGGAGGCCCAAGCAGCATATTTATAGAATAAATGTTTCAGAGGAGTTTACAGGCTGGTGTAAAGAGCAGAGACTGGAGGCAGGTAGGCCTAGGTTCCAATCCAGACCCCGCAGTCATAGCACAGTGGCCACAGGGAGGTTATCTTCTCCTCATGAGCTACCATTTCCCCCTCGTCTGCAATGGATCCTTGAAGGATAGGCCTGTAGGGATTGTTTATTGAGCTCAGGTATCCACGTAACACACATCGTTTGTCCCCAAAAGGCCCTGTGGGCTCAGGATTGACCCCATTTTACGGGTGAGAGAATAGACATTAAATAACTTGCTCGAAGCTCCACTGCTGCTAAGTGCCTGGGTCCCCTTACCCGGTACCTGCTGGCTGGGGGAAGTGCGTGGCAGATGGTAAGGGCTCAGCAGAGCTTAGCAGGGCATGGGGGTCTCCCCTGCCAGCCTCTGTGGTGGGAGCGGAGGGGAGATGCCAGTACCAGTCCAGGCAGGGACTCAGAGACTCTTCCTCCTGCACCCAGGCCTGTTTTGCAATCGGACCTTCGATGAGTATGCCTGCTGGCCGGACGGGCTGCCGGGCTCCTTTGTGAATGTCAGCTGCCCCTGGTACCTGCCCTGGGCCAGCAGTGGTAAGTCCTCGCCATTTCCCCGTGTCCAGAGGCTGGGGGTGGGGGCGGAGTCAGAGCAGGGTGCACTCTGCTGCCTTTCTGCCCAGACCCAGCCCTCCTCTTCCCCCACCCAGAGGGTCTTTAGGCCTCCTAATGGGTGCCTGACTTTCCCCAGGAGAGGGAGTGAAGAGTATCAGGTATAACATAGGCTAGGGCCTGTGCTGGCAGATGAGGAGAGTGCTGGAGTGTGGGTTTTTTTTTTTCTTAAGATTATTTATTTATTTATTTACTTATTTATTTATTCATGAGAGAGAGAGAGAGAGAGAGAGAGAGAGAGAGGCAGAGACACAGGCAGAGGGAGAAGCAGGCTCCATGCAGGGAGCCTGACGTGGGACTTGGTCCCGGGTCTCCAGGATCACTCCCTGGGCTGAAGGTGGTGCTAAATCGCTGAGCTACCCGGGCTGCCCTGGAGTGTGGGGTTTGACTTCAGCCCCTTCCATCCAGTAAAGGGGCCAGGTAGGAACAGATCTGAGGGTTGGGGTATTACCTAGAAGCACCATTGCTCTGGGCGTGTGTATATGTGCGTGTATGTTTATGTGTAGGTGCCCCCTACCTCGTACGGCTACCTGCCACCTCCTGACTAGCGAGGTTCACTGGTCAGATGAACACAGATGGCATGAGTGATCAGGGCATTGGTAGGGTTGTCTGTCCCCAGTGGGTTTCCTCTCTAGCTCACTCCTGCCTGTAGGGGACACTCTGCCCTGGAAAAGATGTGTCTGGGCAGGTGTGAGAGTCTTTGGAAGGCAGGGACCTACAGAGGCTGCAGGGCAGAGTAGCTCTGACTGGAGGAGTAGCTCATGCACCCCCACTGCTACCCATCTGTCCCAGGCACCAGAGAGTTTAACAGGAGACAAGCACCCTTGCCTCAAGGAGCTCACAGTTTCAGTAATGGGAGAAAAGACACTCTCATAATAATAATAATAGCAGCTAGTGTTTACTGCCTGTGTCCCAAGTCTTGCCCTAAGAGCAGGGTATTTGTTTACTCTTTACAACTATCCCCTCGTTATGCTTGTACAGATGAGGAAATTGAGGTCCCAGAAAGCTTAAGCCCCTTGCTCCAGATGATGTGGTAAATGGCAGAGCCAGGATTTGAACCCAGACTGCACTCTTAACCACTGTGCCTTGAAGGGGCCTTTAAGCAGAACCTGGCCCCGAAGCAAGCCTGAGAATGAGGTATGGGAAGGCAGCAGTCTTCCTGGAGGAGGTGGCCCCTGAGTGGAACAATGCCTGGCAAGGCCTGGCATTGACTTCCCCTAGAACGAAGGACTAAAGTCAGATGAAGCCCAAGCAGGGGTGCTAAGGAGGCTCCCAGTACACCTCCCTCACTCCAGGGTGTGCCAGGAGAGCCTGGGCTTGGAGAGAGGCACACACCTGGTAAGAAGCAGCATGGATCCGTGGCCCCTCACACAGCACTTCTGGGGCCTGTTGTTAGCACTTTACACACCTACACTCACCCCTCACAAGAACGCCATGAGTAAGTACTCTGATCATGCTCTCATTTCACAGAGGAGGAAACTGAGTCACGGAGATGCTAAGTGCCTTTTCCAAGCTCACAAGCTAGCGAGTAGCAGACCCAGGAATCAGTTCCGGAGTCTGGTTTAGAGTGTGTTTAATTGCTCCATGAGGCTCCCTTGAGTGTGCAGGTACACACCTGTGTGTGCATGTGGGTATGTTCCTGTGGGGGGGCTCTGGGCATGCAGACAGGTGAGTGGCCTGGGCCTCTGCAGGCTGGGCACATTCCAAGGGAGGGCAGTGAGCTGCCTGCCCTCTCCCTACCAATGAAAAAGTTGAATCCTACAATCTGATGGCTCTGCTTGCCAATGCTCTGAGCGACTTTGTGAACTTCAGCAGATTCCCAGACCCCTTTGTGCCTCAGCTTGTTCATCTAGGATACGGGATAAAGCCAGGTGACGAGGGTATTGGGAGGATTGCAGGTCCTTGAGAAATGGTTGCTGTTCATCTTTTTCACCCACCCTATTTATCGGGCTCACCGCCCCAAATCCACAGACTTCCCTTGCCTCCCGGAGGTTTGGGACCGGCTGCTCCGCCAGCCTGGGTCGGGCCTCTAGACCCCAGGGAGCCAGGCCCAGGACAGGGCCCATCACTCAGCACTTAGCTGCCCCCAGCTCTGCCTGCCACTTGCAGCTCCATCCATCACGTTTAATTTTATTTGAGCAGGAAATAGGTCCTGGTGGTGCCCGTTTATGAGCGAACACAGTTTTATTGCTTTCTCCATGAAGATATTGGCTGCCGCACAGTCCCCCTGCCAGCCTCCACCCCCTCCCCTGACTCACCAAGCTAATTCACTCCCTTTTCTGACACTCCCAATCACGGAGCCTGCCTTTCTTTCTCCTGTCCTGAGTTACGGACCTGCAGAGAAACCCACCGTGGGCTCCCACAGCATAATTGCTGTTTCTGGCTTGTCCTGGTAGTCCCTTCAGCAGAGGGTGGCACCAGGGGCCTCCCTAACACCCACTAGGGCATGTGGAGGCAGGAAGGGGGCAGTAACTGGAGTTTTTTTGGGCTGGTCAAGGGAAGAGCCTATGGAGAATCTTTACAGTGTGAGTTAAGGGTGGAGTGAAGGACCAGGGTGCCGTAGGCAGGGTCCTGCAGAAACACACTCAGCTGGGAATTGGAAGAGACTTTACTGGAGGGGCCACTTACAGAGGTGGGGCAGGGCTAAGGGGCCACTGAGGTGTGTAAAGCACCAAGTACTCTTAAGGGGGGAGCTTTAGCATCCTAGACTGGAGTGGAGCAGACACAGGGCTACGGGGCTCCCCTGACAACCTGGAGGTCATGGTGATGGAGAGGCCACCCAGTAGGGCTGTGGCCACAGAGGGGCCCTCCTACCTTTTGCTTGTGTCTCAGGAGTGTGTGAGTGTGCGTTGGGGAGAAGGGGTGACCCCTCATCACAGGGCTGAAAAGGTTGGCTCAGAGGCCCAGGAAGCCCCAAAGGAAGGTCAGAGCCACCTCTTTTGCCTGGGGTATGATATCAGGAAGGCTTCCAGAGAGAGGTGACATCAGCACCAGGCCTGAGAGAACAGAGAGATGGAGAAGAGGAAAGGAGGGCCCTCCAGGAGGGGAGGACAGCCAGGCAACTCCTTGGAGTTGGGGCCAGGCCTCAGGCCTCAGAGCCACACAACATCCCAGGGATGGGACGCCAGCCAAACCCTTGACTTCCGAGCCCTCTAATTCAGAATTCGGGACTCCAGAGGGCAGAAGCAGATGAGTCAAGGAAGGAACGTGTTCAAGGTGATGCCTGGCGTCAATGAGACTTTGTAAACCAGAAGGCTTGAGTGGCTGCCGAGAGCCTATCGCTGCCCAAGGGCCATCCAGCAGCCTCATTTACCCACAAACAGCTGATCTGCTCCTTACAAATCATTCCGGTCTCATTAGCTGCACCCCCTCCTGATCTGTACCTGCTTGTTGGTTTAGTTCTCATTATAGGAGAGTCGTAAAATGCTTTTAAAATGGCCTATAACTCACAATTCTCAGAAACTCTGACAGGTGCTTCCCTCGAGTCTCGTCAAGCCCACGAGCTTTCCCAGCGGGCCGGTGTTGCCCCAAGGAGACCGGGTCCAGAGCTTGGCCCTGGCGCAGTTGCGGCTGACGGGGTGCTGTCCTGCTCCAGCCCTAGCCTCCACGAGGGAGCACCTTCTGGAGAAATTGGGGGGGGGGGGCAGCAGCAGGGCTTTCGATGTAACGGTGTCTTGAAGGCCTCCTGTGCTCCAGGCATTTCCCGTGCTTTACCTCCTCATCCTCACACCACAGACCTGGGATGCCATCGCGGTTCCCATCTTACAGATGAGGAAACGGAGCCAGGGAGGTCCGCCCGAGGTCCCATAGCTGGCTGGGGGCAGAGCCAGGATTTGAACGGGGGCCTCCGTAGTTCAGAACCTGAGTCCTTCTCCTGGGCCGTGATGGACGCGCTGCCCCTGCCCCCCGGCACCCCATCCCGCCCCAAGCTGGTGCCTTCGGTCCCAGCCCTGCCTTTGACCCTCATTCCACCACCTTGCGGGGAGCCTGGGACTACCCTCTCCGAATCTTAGCTGCCCGGGCGTCCGCTGGGCGCAGTAGCCCCGGCCGGCCGCCGCTGTTGCCAGGGTGCAGAAGCTAATGGATTCATGAGCAGCTCTCCACAGCCCCGAGAGCCTGCATCCACGTGGAAGGGCGGCTGTTAGCTTGATTACAGACGCCGCTGCAGTTTCCGGGAGGGGAAGTGTTTAATTGGGGGTTTTATTTCCAGCACCAGGGTCCGGCTTAATGAAATATCCCTGGGCCTCCTGGCATGCGGCCGGCTGCCTCCTGGTGTTGACAAGACCAGAGCCAAGCCTCTGGCTGTGATTTACCAGCGGCTCCTGGGCCAGATAAAGCTGAGCTGATAAGCAGGGCTGGGCCCGGACCCACCCCACCTCCAGCCAAGATGGGCATCTGGGGACCACGGGCCTGGCCAAGAATGAGCCCTGGCTTTTAATACTGGCCGCTAATGAAGGATAATTGACAGACACACCCTCATGGGCTCCCTGAGCTTCTCGGGGACACAGTGATCCCTTGACCCTGTGCCAGTAACAACACATCTGTGCATGTATCCCCTCCCCATCTCCCCAGCTGGCTCCAGACAGAGGGCCCAGGAATGGGGCAGGCTGCTGGGATCCGCACTGGCCACAGGATCTGCTGGGAGGACGTGGGGAATATCAGCAAACCCAAGCCCAGAAGAAGGGCACAGGTGAAATGCACGTGGCCGCTGCTGAGGGTTAGCAGTGAGCTTGGCTGCTAACTTGCGACCTCTGAAGGCAAAGAGCTGAGGGTCTAAATCCGGACTCTGCTACTTCCCCACTGGATGGTCTTGGGCAAGTCGCCTGGCCATTCCGAGGCTTAGTTTCTTCACCCATAAAGTGGGGTTAACTGCACCTACCTTGTAACGTGGTTGTGATGTCCAAAGGTGCCAGGCACGCACAGGTGTGTAGTATGTACTGTGAGTGTAGCTTGCAGGGAAGGCGTAGAAGATGTGTGTAGGGGAAGAATAGCAACTGTGGGTGCTCCTGTGCTAGGTGGTATTATTAGGGTATCCCTGGGGTCACACTGCTGTGGGCTGAGGCCTGGGTGAGTGGGCAGTTGGGTGGTTTGTGTCCCATTGCCATGTCCTCTCCCTTCTCCTGGTCCCTCTGCCTCCTCCTTCCTCCTCCCTTGCTGTCATCATAGGGGGCTGCCAATGAGGGCTCTGGCCTGAGTCTCCCTCCCTCTGGGGTCAGCCCAGATCCCCATCACTGCCACTTAAGACCAGCTTGGTCTCATTTAACATGACTCAACCCCTGCAGCAGATGAGAGAGGCACTGGGGGCCCAAAGGAGCCCTTCCAGTTGCTCAATCAGACCACATGCCTCCCCTTCTCTGCCTTTGTCTTGGCCTGATTTTGTTCATAAACGCATTTGAGGGGCATTGGGACTTGGCTCTTCTCACAGCTGGAAGTCCCACCATTAGATTTTCAGGTTTGTGTTTCTCTTCCAGGTAAAGTCTCTTAGAATACAGGTTCTTCTAGAAGCAGTGATGCTGCAAGGCGATTTACCCTAAAGTATTACCAGATACTTCTGTCTCCTGATGGGGGCCTTGGTTCAGGGCTTGTTTATGAAAGAGAAGGGGGAGAAAGGAGAAGAGTGAATAGGAGGCTGCTCCGAGTGATGGGGGCCCGGGGGTAAGGAAGGATGAGGGTCTGACACACACCAACAGTGGGCAGATTGGGTGTTTGGGAACTGTCAGACCCCTGGGCTAGATGGCTGTGTCCCAGCTGGGTGGGCCCTTCCGGGGCAGGCCTTGGGGGTTGGAGTGCTCCCTTCATGCTCCGCTCATGCTCCCATCATGCTCCCATCATGCACACATGTTGATGAGCCTCTCCCCATACCCTGGACTTACTGCAACCTCTCCACCTGGAAACTTCTGGCCAGGGCCTGTGATGCTTCTCCATGCTCCCTCTCTCCCTCCCACTGCACCTTCATCCCATAGCTGGTCCTTAAAATCTTTTAGTCCTTTAGAATTTCTGAATCTTTTCAATTGTGTCCTGGCTCCAGTTTTCCTCCTTGGTCTCCCTGTTCTAACTAACCCTTACCCTGTTCTTGACCCTGGTTTCCTGGCCCTGGGGTCAGACTTACATTCTCCTCCAGAGAGGTAATGAGGCGTTTCCTCCCAGGCACAAGTAAGCCCCTCCGTCCCTCTCATGAGCTCACAGTGAACCAGGGACCCCAAGCCCCCCACCTCCCCGGGTAGGGGGACAGTGGGGCATGGTGCCTTAACGTGAAGGGGCACGGGAAACATCCTACCCTTGGTGCTGTTGGGCCTGTGTTTGATCTCTCTTAGTTTGATTTTTTTTTTAAGATTTTATTTATTTATTCATGAGAGAGAGAGAGAGCGAGACAGAGACACAAGCAGAGAGAGAAGCAGGGAGCCCGATACAGGACTCGACCCTGGGACGGCGGGATCATGCCCTGGACCGAAGGCAGGCATCCAACTGCTGAGCCACCCAGGCGTCCCTCTTAGTTTGCATTTATGCTATTACTTTCTGAGGACCGTTTCTCCTGTGAGTCCGCATTACCTGAAGCTGGGAACTGTGCTTCTGCCTTCAGACTGGGTGCTTTCTGAGGACACGGGCTAGACCTCTCCCTCCTCTCAGACTGGAAGGTCTCCAAGAGCAGTCTCTATCCCCTAACATCTGAGTGGGGCTATTTGAAGGGAGGACTGGATCTTCCCCCTTTGGAAGGAGGGTCTCCAAGGACTGTGCCTCTATCATTGACATTGTATTCTCTTTAATCAGGCCATCCTTGAGGATAAGATGGTGTCATTTCCATCAGATTAGGACTTCCTAAAGGCAGGACTATGTCTCCTCCCTCAGACTGGGGCTCCCTGAGGACAGGGCTGTGTCTCTTCCTTCCTCTCAGGAGCTGTGGGCCCATTTGTCCAGGGTCTCTTCTGTCTGTGGAGTGTTGGAGGGAGGTAGAGGCTGAGTCCTGAAAATCAGAAATTGCAACGTGTGTCTGTGGAGCTGTCAGGTGGTCAGCACCAGACCTGTCAGTACTGTGACTTGAGGTTGGAGGCAGGACATGGAAATGGGTTAGAGTTGTCTCATCTCAAAAATGTAGTTTCATCAAACTGCATCCCAGGGTGGCCAAGAGGAAAGGCTGAAGGGGGAGCTGGGGTGGCCCTTAGTGACTGCCTGTCCTGTCCTGGGCCAAATGGGCAAATGTCAACGGAGGAGGGCCTGCGTGCGTATGTGCACATGTGCATGTGTGTGTGTAAGAGGTGTTGCTGACTCCAGAAGGTCAATTCCTCTCAGGGGTGACTCTCAGGATGGGGAGGAACGAGGGGCAGGAGGCACTGAGCCAAGGCTCAGCTCCTGTGTCTCTCTGCCCCAGTGCTGCAGGGCCATGTGTACCGATTCTGCACGGCTGAGGGCCTGTGGCTGCGCCAGCACAACTCCAGCTTGCCCTGGAGGAACCTGTCCGAGTGCGAGGAGTCCAAGCGAGGGGAGAGAGTGAGTTGAAGATGGGGGCTCTGCATCAGCGAGGGGTGGCAAGGTCCCAGCCTCGCTGGAGCAGGGACCCTGGGCACCCGGTGGGCCAGTCTGCAGCCATCTGTGGGTTTTGCACACCATGCCTGCGGGGCAGAGATGACCTGTGTTCACCCCACTGGTCTCGGGATAAGGCCCTAGAAGTCCAAGGTCCATGGCCACAGGTCATTTCCTTTCTTAGTTCTGGGGTTCCCAGTGCATCCTGTTTTGGGGCCCTGCTTCTGTCCCTGTCCTGTGGGAAAGACAGACATGGGAGAGGAGGGTGTGGCCTGCCTCATGGGCACTGTGTCCCCCATGTGCACACAGAGCTCCCCAGAGGAGCAGCTCCTGTCCTTTTCCATCATCTACACGGTGGGCTATACACTCTCCTTCTCTGCTCTGGTCATCGCCTCGGCCATCCTCCTGAGCTTCAGGTAAGAAGCATGGGGGCCCGGAGGGGCCATGTCATCCCAACCCTCGCTCTGTCCCGGGTAGATGAGGGAGCACCAAACTGAAGTCACAGAGCAGCAGCTTCTTCTTGAGACATCTCTAGAGAATCTGTCCCCTCCCTGCATATGAGGCTGAAAACACAGGGGAGGACACTGTGTACTTGGCCTGAGCTCTGAAAAAGCAGGCATAGAATATTGCAGAAAAGAAAAAGCAAACACCACACGAGGAATGCACGAGGCACGCTTCCCCAGCCATGATAGCGGGTGGTAGGATTCGGGGAAATCCTCTCCAGTGAGCATGCAAAGCTTAAATCATCAGGAATTCAGTACAATTTTGGATAAGATCTCAAGGGTTTAGAGACTCTTCTCTTTGGAGCTTATGAGCCCCTTGGAAAAGGTCTTCCTTAAATCTAACCTTCCAGAGAACCATGTTCTTCTCACTCCTTCCACACTTGGTGGGGGTGGGCTGGGTAGGGCAGGCTCGGTTCAAGGTCAGGAGGGATTCTGAGTGCAGGGACCTCAGGCTACCAGCCAGCAGAAGTAGGACAGGCCTCCTTCCTCCTGCTGCCCCCATGCCACCTGGCACAGGGAGTGCTGGGCGCACAGTCAGTGCTCGATAAACGCACTCGCTCAGTGAGTATTCTCCCCCTGTGTTATGAAGTAGTTCAGAGATCTGAAAACACAGCGGCTGATCCTGGTCACTGGTGCACTCAATACCCAGCCTAAGAGCTAATGCCTACCACACAATCAGCACAGTCACGCGGCCCTGGGGGGACTCCCAACCAGAGGGAACCCCCAAAGAGGCTACTTATAATCCCCATACGTCTCTGTACTTTTGCCACTGTAATACCTATAAAAATATGTAGGGATCCCTGGGTGGCGCAGCGGTTTGGCACCTGCCTTTGGCCCAGGGCGCGATCCTGGAGACCCGGGATTGAATCCCACGTCGGGCTCCCGGTGCATGGAGCCTGCTTCTCCCTCTGCCTGTGTCTCTGCCTCTCTCTCTCTCTCTCTGTGACTATCATAAATAAATAAATAAAAATTAAAAAAAAAAAGAAAATATTTAAAAAATACGTAGCGGCAAGTTTTGCATATTTTTTTAAAAGATTTTATTTATAAGAGAGAGAGAGAGAGAGGCGAAGACATAAGCAGAGGGAGAAGCAGGCTCCCTGCAGGGAACCTGATGCGATGCAGGACTTGATCCCATGACTCTAGGATCACGCCCAGGGCTGAAGGCAGGCGCTAAACTGCTGAGCCACCCAGGGATCCCCGTACTTTTAATGGCATGTTGTACATATTCTTTCGCAGTGATATTTTTGGCCTGGTATGTTCTTGTGAGATTCATTCATGTTGATACAGGTAGTTCTGTTTCATTTATTTTCACTGTCACTCCAGACTCTGATGTATATAACATGTTACAATTTATTTGTTGTCACTTTAATGGGTATTGGAGGTTTTTCCTTTTTTTTTTTTCCTTCTCTGATTTACAAAGCTTGCTATAAGGAACATTCTTACTTATGACCCCCCTGTGCATTTCTCCAGGGGCACATACCTCTGAGTAGAATTGCCTGGTCTGAATCCCACGTGCTTTTGTTAATTTATTAGGTGAATTTGCTCTCCAAAGTGGTCATACCAGTTTGCCCCCTTGCCAGTAATAAATGAGGGCTCCCTTTGCTTAACATCCTCACCAATATTTAGTATTTTCACCTCATTGTTCCTAATCTGAAGCATGTGAAATATCTTGTGATTTTAATTTGCATATCCTGGATTCTTAGGGAGATCAAACATTTGTGTATATTTCATTTTGTGAATCACTTATTCATATCCTTTGCTTTTTTATTGGCTTGTTTGGCTGCTTCTTTATTATTTTGGCCTTTTTTTTTTTTTTTGACTTTCATTATATATTCTCAATCCTAATCCAGGGTATACCCTCCCTTGATCTGCAATTTATTTTTTCACTCTCTTTTTTTTTAAAAAAAGATTTTATTTATTTATTTATTCATGAGAGACACAGAGAGAGAAGCAGAGACATAGGCAGAGGGAGAAGCAGGCTCCATGCAGGGAGCCTGATGCAGGACTCGATCCCAGGACCCCGGGATCACAACCTGAGCCTAAGGCAGACGTTCAACCACTGAGCCACCCAAGCGCCCCTATTTTTTCCCTTTCTTGATAGCGACTTTTATGCATTGAAGTCCCCATTTCTACTGATAAAATTTATCAATAAATGTTATTGATAAAGATTAATTTTGCCAATTAGTAAAAAAATATCAATTTTTTTCCAAAGACCAAATTCCTTTATGGTCTTGTTTGAGAAGTCTTTCCTCACCCTGGGGTCATAAATTTTGCACCTCCCTTTTGTTTCTTTAATCCATTACTTACTTAATTAATTAATTAATTAATTAATTAATTTTTGTCTATGGTGAAATTAAGAGATTTAATTAATTTTTTTCATATATATATAGTTAATTGGTTCAGTACCACTTGTGATAGCTCATCCTCTCCCCTTTGGGTTTACAGTGCTTACTGTGCCATGCAGCAAGAGTTATCTTTGCCTGGGTTGGTTTTTGTCATCTGTATTCTTGCCCTTTTTCCTATTTATCTATCTGATTGTCAATACCACAGGGCTTTAAATACTATAAATTCATTGAAAACTTCAGTTCGCTTATAGTGAAGACTCCTGCTCTATGGCTCTTTAGGAGTGTCTGGACAATTTATTCTTGGTTCTTGGTTCTTTATATGTTTTGAGAGTTCCAGGAAAACAAAAAATCAATCCTGTTGGAATTTTTGGCATGGTCTTACTGAATTTATCAATTACTCTGGCGAGAACTGACACCTTCAAAATAGTCTTTCTATCCATGAAAGTATGATTTTAAGTCTTTTCTAACAATTTTCAGCAAGTTTTATTATATTCTTTGTAGAGCTCTTGCCCCTCTTCTGTTAGCTTTTTTCTATGTAGCCAACTAAAAAACTACAAGTGAATTTTTAAAATTCACTTTTTAATGGTTTGTTGCTGATATACATAAACGCACATCAGCAAACTTGCTGGATGAACTCTCCAATCAGTTCTGATAATTTGGGTGTAGATTATCTTGGATTCTCTGCGAAGATACTCTACCATCTACAAATAATGACAGTTTTGTTCCTTTATTTCCAATTCTTACACATTTTTTTTCCCTTGCTCTCTTACAGTGGTCAGGATCTGTACTACGATGTTGAATGGATGTGATGATAGCTTTGTAAGGCGAGGCAATCCTTATTTTCTTGGGTTTGGAGGAAATGCTTATAAAATTTCTCAGTGGAGAATGATGTTTGCTCCCAGTTTGGGTAGATAGCACGTATCAGGTTAAGAAATGCCCTTGCATTTGCAGGTTGGCTGTGCGTTTTTACCTGAAAGGATATTGAAATTGTGTCTTATATTTTCTGAATTCCTACCATGTGCTCAGCCCTCATCTGCCCCTGTAAGGCAACCTTGAGGCATGTGAGAGGTAGGTCCTTTCCTCAAGAAGTGAAGCAAAGTCTCCATTGGGAAAAGTCCTCACACATAAACCACTGGCTTACACGTGACTCTATAGAAAAGCCGATGCTGTAGAGAGGAGGGTAGTGTGGATGGCAGGTGGTAATGACCACACACCTGAAGCCTTCATGGAGATGCAGGACTTACACTGGACCCAAAGAATTTTCAGGTTCACGAGGAAGAAGGGCATGATCAGAGGAAGAAAAGACAGGAGCACCATCCCAGACGCAGAAGCATGCCTGAGGTGTTACGTTAGCTTGAGAACTGAGGCTTGTGAGGCAGGCCTTTTGGCCATCTTGCCAGGAAGGAGCCGTGCTTTCTCCCACAGACACCTGCACTGCACCCGGAACTACATCCACCTGAACCTGTTTGCGTCCTTCATCCTCCGAGCGCTGTCCGTCTTCATCAGGGACGCGGTCCTCAAGTGGATGTACAGCACGGCCCCCCAGCAGCACCAGTGGGATGGGCTCCTCTCCTACCAGGTGTGTGGTGTGTCCAGGAAGGACCTGGGGAGGGATGCCCAAGTGAAGGCCAGCTCCCCCCCAGCCTCACCTGCGTCTGGCACAACGGAAGGGAAGAGCTGCCTATGCCTGGTCCGTAGGGTCCCCCAGTCTAAGGAGGTGGACGCTCTCCCTGCCCCTAACGAGTTCCGTCTGACACAGGGAGTGCTCTTTGGAAACGGACCCAGGCCTGACTCCCTGCTCTGCGAGCTGCAGAGTTTGGGGCAAGTCACCTAACTTCTCTGAACCTTGGTTTTCTCCCCCGTGTGGGGCTAATATTAGTTTCCTCCACCCCCGACAGTGATGCAGTGAGCTGAAGCACTGGCCCTGGTTAGCCTTAGCCCTCTCAGCCTGCATTCAGGGGGGTAGGGGCACGGCCGGGGCGGGTGGGGACGGGTGGGGGAGTCAAGAGAGGCAGGAGGCAGAGCTGTTGCCCCCTGGGGACCCTTCCTCTGCCCCCAGGATTCTCTGGGCTGCCGCCTGGTGTTCCTGCTCATGCAGTACTGCGTGGCAGCCAATTACTACTGGCTCCTGGTGGAGGGCATGTACCTGTACACGCTGCTGGCCTTCTCTGTCTTCTGTGAGCAGCGCATGTTCCAGCTCTATCTGAGCGTAGGCTGGGGTAAGGCCCACCGTCATTCGTCTTACGTGCCCCCCATCCCATCCTATGGCACGGGAGGTGGGAGACCCTGACCTCTCCTGGAACCACCACCTGCAGCCTGCACCCCCTCCCCGGGAAGCCAGCTTGGTACTCAGAACAGGCTGCTGGGCTAAGGGGGCAGGGCCCACTGGGTAATTCTTCCCCCCTCCTCCCCCACACCCTGGCCCAGGACTCACTGCAGGGGGCGCTGCAGGTTACCCTCCCCTCTCTGCAGAACCCTACCCACTTTATGGAAGCAGAGGCCTCCATCCTACCTGGCCAGATGCACCGCACACCCCAGTGGTGGCCATGGCACTGCTCCTCCAGTACCTCTACTCCTAAGACCCTTGGGGATGGAGCCTCATGACCAATCCTTGGTCCCCAGGCCCTGAGGGAAATGGAGAGTTCTGGGCCTCAGGGTAAGGGTCGGGGTGAGTGCCGAGGGGCTGTGGCTCTGTCCTCGGATCAGTGATGAAGAGGAGGACCCAGAGGAGGCTGGCAGGGCGGGGCTGGCCAGCCAGAGGCCCACTGAGGAAAGGGTGGACCGCGGATGTGCCTGGAGCCCAGCTGGAAATGTTCTAGCCAAAAAAGTTTGCGGAGAACCATTGTATCTTTTTTTTTGCTGGAACATTTCTGGTTGTGCTTCTGCCTCTCGCCGTGTGGGATTCTGATGAGGACAGGGGCTGAGACACCCACCAGCAGCAGCCCCCCAGCCCCCACCCCACGACAGGGAAAACAGATGCAACAGTGCTTAATCTGGGGGGGCCCACGGGGCCCCCATGGGGTGGGGCCAGAGACCAGGCTCTGCCTTCTGGCTCTTCCTTATCTGCCAAGACCCCTGCCCCCACCACAGGCCCCTGCACTCCACCACGAGCTTGCCAGTCATCTATTCACTACTGTCATCCATTCCCTCCCCTGCCTCAGGTTGCTCTGACCACTGCCATCCCGACCTCCTCAGTCAAAGCCAAATGACATCCCCCTCCCAAACTGGCTCCTGCCCTGGAGCCTTTGCAAGGCTGTCCTCAGCAGCCTCAGGAAGCCTCCGCAGGTTGTCTGGCCCTCTGGCTCTGTGCTCTCTCTGGCCCTCTCAGCCTCCCTATCCCTGTCCTCCCCCTGCATTCCTTAAGGCTGGTGTCCCTCAGCCACTTGGCTCCCTGTGGCCCCATTGTAGAAGGGGGCTTCTAAAGGGGGCGATTGGTATCTGGAAGGCACTGAGGCCCAGGGAGGGCAGGGCCTTACAGACAGAGCAGGCACCAGGCCCTGGGCCCCTGCCACCTGTCGTGGAAGGTTCTTGTCCCCCTCTGCCTCTTTACTCCCCAGAAGACCCTGTCGAGCAAGCTCAGGCCTCTGCACAGTTGGGCAGGTGGGCCTGGCTTCAGTGTACAGCTCCCCGCTCCCACCCTCTCTCTTCCCCCCACTCAGGGCCCCCCCTTTCAGCCCTGCCTTCCTCCCCCCCAGGCTAGGGCAATCACCCTAGGCAGTGGGCAGCTGGAGAGCCGTGCAGCTAACTGGGGCGGGGCGAGGGGGTGGTTAGGTCTCTGAGGGCAGCTCTGGGAAGGCTCTCCTTAGGGTGGGGGACTGCGTCTGTCCCTTCTGGGAAATAGCATCAGCGCTGTTAGTGCCTGTCTCCATGGCGACCCAAGGGCAAGAACAATCGGAGGGACAGTGTGATGTGTGCAGAGGAGTGGGGGTGGTTGGAGGGTTGGTGGAGACACATGGCATCCTGGAGGTTTCTGAGTGGGAATGGCGCCCATCCTTTCCCACCACTTCATGCCGTGGCTCTGGGCTCAGGGTCTGAGGGGGACCTCCCTCCAGATGAGAGCACCCTTATCTTGAGGAATTGGGATGGGGAGGTACAGAGACAAAAGGGCAAAGACAGGACAGAGATTCACAAAGAGCTCTGTTGCAGGCCAGGAAACCGAGCCCACATTGCGGTGCTTGGAAGCAACCTTTAGCTTCGCATGCAAACAGAAGAATCAAAATTAAAACCCTGACACAGTTGGGGACTCCCCCAAAGACCTGTCACCTTCTATGCCATCCACCAGCAGCTGGGTGCCCCGGTAACCCACCCCAAAGAGGCTGCCCGGGAGGGAGGCAAGTGATGGACCAGGGAATCATCACTTCTCAGGGCCAGTTCTGTGTGTCTTAATTTGATCTTTTTTCTCCAGCCTGTGTTGTTGACTTTCTAAATAGTGGAGAGACGCACCCAGCAGGGAGTGTGTAATGTTTGCATGTAGCAGAGCTTTGCCTGCATTTTTAAAAAGGCTTTGTTAAGGAGAGACTGATGAACGAGTGAAGTTCACCAGGTCTTACTGCTAACATGAGTGAGTGGAGTCTCAGAGTGTTAAGGACAGCAGGTGGCTGGGGATGCCCAAGAAGGAGGTTTCCATGTGTGTCCGTAGCTCAGGGAATTGCCATGTTCCTGCCTGGAGAGTTGCCCTTCTCTCACTGATGTATGGAGCCACTCATTATTCCTTCCTTCCATCCTCTGAGCATCTTCCATGTGGCAGGCTCCATGCCATGTTCGGAGGCCTTTGGAAGCCACCCATCCCTTGTACACTCTCATGAAGGCCTGTTACTGAAGCATCGTAGATGCTCAGAGGTCTGATTTGTATAAAAATAAATGGCCAAGGAGAAAAATACCCGATGAAGAACGCTGGTCGGCTGCGAGCTGCTCTGCTTCCTCCATCTCTGTCTGCACTGTCACATGGTAGTTCCGGGCATTCCAGCTGCTCAGGAGCTGCTCTTGAGGACATGGATCATGGTGATGGGAAGGGCTGTCAAGTGGGCTCTGCCCTGGAAATGGGCTCTTGGAGGAGACCCCCTAAAGCCACACATGCGTATGCACAGGCCCCGCCCCCTACACACACACCACACACACTCACATCTGTGTCCACACACCTTAATCCTCACACTCTTGCCTATCTCTGACGCCCACGTCTCCCACCTGGGAGAGAAACCCATAGGGACAGGCATGGAGAGTTGGTGCAAAAAGCCAGCGAAGGTGGTTGGCTTGGGCGTGGGACAGCAGCCCTGCATTCCAGTCCCACCTGTACCCTCCTGAGCTCCTGATTCATCTCCATCTGTGAGCATGGGCAGACCGTATGAAGTCAGCAACTGTGCTGAGCCCTCAGGGTGCGCCAGGCATTGAGGCCCTGGAGATGAATGAGGCTCAACCCTGATGGGACTGGAAACCAGATGAATTAGTTATCTTCTGCTGTGGAATGGAAGACCCCACGGCATAGCTACTGGGAGCAGTGATTCTTTTTTTTTTTTTTTTAAGATTTTATTTATTTATTCATGAAAGACAGAGAGAGAGAGAGAGACAGAGACACAGGCAGAGGGAGAAGCAGCCTCCATGCGGGGAGCCTGACGTGGGACTCGATCCCAGGTCTCTAGGATCACGCCCTGGGCCGAAGGCGGCGCTGAACTGCTGAGCCACCCGGGCTGCCCGGGGAGCAACAATTCATATTGCAGTTTCTATGGACAGGAATCTGGGTTCAATTCAGCAGCATGCCTCTGGTTGAAGGTCTCTAACAGAGATGCTGTCAGGATGTCGCCCTGGGTTGCTGTCCCCACAGGTCTTCAGTGGGGTTGGAGAATCCCTCGCAAACCCCCAAGGTTGTCAGAAAGCACAGCACCTTGCTGCTGTTGACTGGAGGCCTCTGCTCCTTGCCACAGGGGCCTCCACAGGCTACCTGAGTGCCCTCATGACCTGGCAACTGGTGTCCCCCAGAGCAAGTGATCAGATTGAGAGAGAGAACCCAGGGCAAGCCTTTTATCACCTTTTAAAACAGTCTTTTATAACCTAACCTCAGAAGTGATGTGCCGTCACCTCTGCGTATGTGATTGGTCACGCAGAGCAATCCCGATACAGCGTAGGCTACACCCTGGTGCAAATACCAGGACGTGGGGGTCAGGGGGCCTTCCTGGAGGCTGCCTCTCAGCCGACTGGAAAGTGTCATGTTGGAGCTGCTGTTACCGTGGGCCCTGCGCCGTTAGTTGGGCTGTTGGCATCAGGGACAGGCCCCTATCTCTACTCCAGGCTTCTGCTCAGCCACCTGCAGGGTGAGGGTAGGGAGGGTAGGGAACGGGCGGCTGGAGGGGCTTCTGGTGCCCGAGGAGTTGGCTGAGGTGGACATGGGGACCATGGCAGGAGGAGAAGGGCATCACAGGGTTGGCCTGTTCCCACCTCATCCAGCATGTTCTCCCCCTCTGTGGCCTTGTCCCTCCATTACGTGGGTGTCTACATCCTCATGTCTCAGCCAGGATTTGGGGGCAAGCCCCGATGATGTGCCTGGGAGGTGGGGGTGGGGGCCTGGTGAGTAGAGATACGTCGTAACGTGTGGGATCCTCTCTCTGAGAAAGAGTCCAGGGAGTTGGCCAGGGGTGGGAGGGTGTTCGGGCCACCCCCGCCCCCCCACGCTCCCAGACCAGCCTGGGTCCACACCTGCTAGAAAGTGGTTTCGTAGCCAGGCGAAGGGGAGGGGCCGGAGGTGGGAGAGGCCTGGGTAAGGAGAGGCCTGAGTGTGCCCGCTGGTAAGCTCGGGCCTGCCAGCCTCTCTCCCCTCTCTTTTCCCATTCTCCTTTTAGGTGTTCCCCTGCTGTTTGTTATCCCTTGGGGCATTGTCAAGTACCTCTATGAGGATGAGGGGTGAGTGTCCTGCTCCTGGGCACATGTGTGCCGAGGTCCCTATTCTCAGACCCCACAGGAATCCTTGGCCCCTGGGGTATGTGCCTACTACCTGTTGGGAGGATAAACCGAGAAACCAGGAGCTTAATCTACAAATTTCGTCCTCTAGTACTCCTTCCCTGTCCCTCCCCGGGACTGTGTGATAACGAACGGGGCTGGATCCATGGGTATGCAGTGGTTTTTCTGTAATAACCATGGAATATTTCTGCTATTTGGTGTATGATGCTAGGTACACACATGAGTCTTTGTTAAGTTCATGAAGGGGTCATGTGAAACTCTCTGTGTGACCATGTATTTAAGACTCTCTCTGTGTGTGTGTGTGTGTGTGTAGGTGTGAGTGACCATGTATTTAGGACTCAGTGTGTGTGTGTGTGTGTGTGTAGGTGTGAGTGACCATGTATTTAGGACTCAGTGTGTGTGTGTGTGTGGCTTGAAGGATTCTGCATGAATCCATGGGACTGGTTGTTGGGACTCATGGTGGCAGTGTTTGTGTGGCTCTGTGTGTGTCACTTTGCATGGCCATGTGTGGCGGTGTGCCCCTGTGCCTACACTGTGAGCTGGGGGGCCCTGTGCGTCCCATGAGGTGCCTATGTGTCTGCCTTCCTCTCCAGCTGCTGGACCAGGAACTCGAACATGAATTACTGGCTCATCATCCGGCTGCCCATCCTCTTTGCCATTGGGGTGAGTGACGGTGTCAGGGTGGGAGTGGCAGTCCCACCAGGTGTCACTGGGGGAAGGTGGGGAGATGGTGGCTGTTTAGAGAGGGCCTTCAGCTACCCTCCCCACCCCCCTGCAGGTGAACTTCCTCATCTTTATCCGGGTCATCTGCATTGTGGTGTCCAAACTGAAAGCCAATCTCATGTGCAAGACAGACATCAAGTGCAGGTGATGTGCCTGAGTGGGCTTTGCTGGGCACCCTCGGCCCTCGCTTCCTGAAGAGACAGATCCTGGGATGCTGAGCTCAGGACCCTGCATGACCTCCTTCTCCCTGCCCCAGCCCTATCTGGGTCCCCGAGCCTTGTTCTTAGCCCTGGACCTGGGCAGCTCCCAGGCTTCTGGGGGTCTTGATCTCCACCTCCCTCCCCGCCCCGCCAGGCAGCCCATCCCAATGTGTTTGGGGTGGGAGAATTTCTGTCACCTAAGACACGGGGTCAGGGCATGGAAAGGAGAAAAGAATCCACTGGGAGGGATCCAGAACCATGTCTTCACCACACCCCCAGACTTGCCAAGTCCACACTGACGCTTATCCCCCTGCTGGGGACCCACGAGGTCATCTTTGCCTTCGTGATGGATGAACACGCCCGGGGGATGCTGCGCTTCATCAAGCTGTTCACAGAGCTCTCCTTCACCTCCTTCCAGGTGACCTCATGGCTGGGGGTCCTCACTTGCCAAGTCCTTGGGTGGGAGTGGGCTGGAGACCACGCACCGTGCACATGGCCTGCACCATGCACATGGGCACCTGGGGCCTGGGAGGAAAGCGGGAGGTGCCCAGAGTTCTGTGGCTGGAGCAGAGCCAGGGCTAGATTGGCATCGGGCACCCAGGCCGGTCTCCTCTGTAAGCGCATGGGACCATGGAACAAGAAGCCTTTGCAGAGGTAGCCATGGGCAATCCAGCCTGGCATCAATCACAGCTGCCATCTACTGGACTGCTACTGGGTGGCAAACACCCTGCCAGGGCTTTGCACACATTGTGCATTTATCCTCACGGCATCCCAGGAGGTTGTGTGGGGTCATCTGGTTTTACAGAGGATGAAACTGATGCTTGGAGATGTTAAAGCAAGATTTGCCAGGTCCCATAGTTTCCAAAGCCAAGAATTCATCCTCTCCGCTAGTATTAGATAATGCTGAGGGTGTGTGAGCATCACTGGGGCTGTCGATATAGGAGAACCTGGTCCCGGCCCCTCGGGAGGCTTGTGGGAGGGCCACACACCTAGGCCCATGCACGTGCCCTTCACATGTGTGCATTCACACAGCCATATGCAGATCACAGCTCGGGAGCACTGAGTGTGCTGAGTGAGCAGATAGAGGCACGGTAGGAAAGATGGCCTGTGACCCGAGGTGGTGTACTTTCTCGGGCCAGAGCTCCTCAAGGAGAGGGTGATTGAAGAGCTTCTGCAGGATCTAAGCAAGGGCTTTGAGTTTCTCTAGAAAGGGAAGGAGAAGGAACCCAGTGCTCTGGGGCTGCCCAGCCTGAGGAGGGGGATGTTGGGGCTGGAGCCCCGAGGAGCGTCAGGGCCTACCTGCAGGGCAGCCTCCCTCCTGCTTCCTCCCTGCTGACGTGACTCTTGTTTCCAGGGGCTGATGGTGGCCATCTTGTACTGCTTTGTCAACAATGAGGTAAGGCCCAAGGGAGGGGGGAGGGCGTGGGGCCCCTTGGGCTGCTCCTATATTTATGGGTTGCTCTGGAGTTGTCAGTGGGGACTCCCATCAGTCTTTCCAGCTGAAACCCCCTACCCATCCCACTAGACACTAGAGCTGAGGAGGCATCTGGTCGATGTATTGTTTTCTGTGCATGGGCGTCTCTCTAACACACACACATACGCACACACGTGCACAGGCATACCCTGATGGACATGAACTTGGGGGAGATCCGGCCTTGTGTTAAGGGGGTCCTTAGTGAACAGGTGGTGGTTACAAGATGATTCACCAGCAGACGCGCCCAAGTCACCTGGGGCTTTAATCATCACTATCTTATTTCATTGGCACTGTTTCCACCTGCCCCCCAAAAAATTCCCTGCTAAAATTATGGTTTGATATTCCAATTTTTCACACAAGATCATTGAATATCAGAGAGAATTCGGAAGCATGGCCCAGGCTTGGCCTGGGAGTGGGGGCAGAGCTGGGATTCAAGTGCATCCTAAGGGAGGGAGGTAAGCATCCACACTCTGTGCAGGTGAGAGCCCCGGCCCACCATAGCAAAGGGGTGCACTCCTCCAGTGGCTTTCCAGTTGCTGCGGTGCAGAGGGGGGCTGTCGCTGACCTGCACCCTCCCGTGCAGACCCTCCTGGACCATAGCTCTCCCCTCTCCAAGACTCTGGGCCCCTGGGAAGAGGGGTTATCTGTCCTCTGGTGCCTGGCAAGGGCCCCTTCCACCCAGGTACCCAGCTTTGCACTGGAGCAGGTCAGAAGCAAACCCACACCGTCAGACTGGACATCACAAAAGCCACAGCACCACCTCCCATTCCTTCCAGAGGGGAAACAAAGCAGAGTACTGCATGTGGCACCAGGGTCACCTGGAGATGTAGCCCCAAGAGCATTAACCCCAGCAGGGAAGAGAGGGGGGAAATCTCCCATTCCAGAGTCTGGAGGGCAAACTGAGGACTCTGTTAACTGTGTAGGCCCAGCTGAGGATTTCCATCAGTGAGGCTGGGGTTCAGGTGAGCCATGGACACTGCTCCCCCAAGAACTGGGGCTCTTTCTATGGCTCTGTCCCTGAGTCTGATACTCCGGAATTGAGAGATCATAAGAGTCTGCATTCATACATTAATTTTACTTGTGCTCTGGGTGCAGGGGACATGGGGGTGGCCGCGGGTGGGGACCGTGGTATTCCAGGGGGTCGTGAGATGGCTCTAAAGAGCAAGGTGATGCAGTGGGAAGATGCGGGACGCAGGCTTTGGCGTCAGGCCTTTGCTCCCATCCAGGCAACGTCACTTGATGAGCTGTGTGACTTTGGGGAAGTCACATGCCCGCAGTTTGATACCCATTTCCTCTTCTGCAAAGTGGTGTTAATGATGCTCAGAGCATGTGGGTCTCTAAACGGGAGGGAAACACTTCCTGAGTGTTTATTCTGTATCAAATCTCATCGATGTAGCAGGTGCTCTCTCAGTTTACAGGTGAGAAAATTAAGACTTAGTGAAATGAACAGCCACAGTTCAACAGCTAAAAGGTGATAGAGCTGGTACATGGGGAGGGGTCCCCACTAATGCTTCAGGGCTGCAGGGACTGGGAGGGGGAGGCAGCGCCTGGCACAGAGTGGCCCCTGAATACCTTCTGGCCGTCCCTAGGGGCCGGTCTCGGGCAGCTTCCCCGGGCTCAGGGTGGGGTGGGCCAGGGAAGGAGAGGAGGTCGGTGTAGAGAACACTCACAGGGGCCTTGTCCTACAGGCCCCTGATGCACGGGAGCAGCAGGATGCTCCAGCCCTGGTCCTCCCCAACATCTGAGCCCTCGCAAAGAACTTCCTAAAGAACTGATGAAAATGTTGAGTTATGAGGAACCACAAGCTCTGTGTGGTGGCTAATGGTTCTCAGCCAGAGGGGCAATGTGCTACCTGGCCCTGACCTCTGCTGCTTGATCTCCCAGGGACAGGGGCAGGGTGGACGGTGTCCCTGTGCGGGCCGAGAGAGTGAAGTTCCCTTCTGCCCCTTCTCGACCCCATGAGGTTCCCATTTCCCACTTCTCCCTTCTTTTCCTCCGAGCCACACCGGCTGCAACACATGCCCCCCACCCCAACACACACCCCTGCGAGGCCTCCCCCCAACTGCTGCGGAGAGTCCCAGGCTGAGGCTGAGTAGTCTCGTGACTCCATCCCTCAAAGCCTGTCACCCATCACCTCCCTGCTTCATTCGGCCCCAAAGCTGGCCCAGCTTTGTCAGGAGGGAGGGGTGGGCACACATCCCACTGGGCCCTTGGCAACTAAGGACCCTAGGATCACCAGATCCCCCACTGGCCTCTCCCCTGGGCTCTCCCAGGCTCCTGCTGTGGGGTCCAGGAGACCTGCTCCACATTTGCCTTGTTCAAGTGCACTGCCCAGTTCTCCATGGACACTTCAGGCCCTGGCTCCTCCCAGCACAAGAACAGAACGTCACCTTCACTGGGCCACAAAACACATGGCTTCTGGGCTGAGATCTCTGTCCACAAAAACTGTTCTCCAGACCTGGGGTTGCCATGGCAATGCTAGGTACTTTTGACCCGAAGAGAAAAGATGGCCTGGACGTTGGTCCTGCCTCAGCTGCCAGGAGAGTGGGCACAGGGAGGGGAGGCCTGGGGATGGTTCTGCTGTGGTTCGTGTCCTCTCACCAGGGATCTGACTCAGGAGCCTGAGTGCTAGTCCCAGATCTGCCACTACCCAGCTGTGGGACATGGGGCAGTGACTTTGCCTCTCCCCCCAAGTGTAAACAAAAGTGAAAGAGCTTAACCCAGTCTTCCCAAATCCCAGAGCCAGGGCCTAGCCAGAGGCAGGGAGTCAGGTAGGCTTAGTGTGAGGAAGTACTCCGCCCTAAGTACTAGGACGGGAGTCAGATTCACGGTGTCCCCTCTGCTGTTTCGTCGTAATATTCAGTAGCCAAAGGAGCCCAGAGTCTGATGCTCATTTTGTCACTCGCTCCTTCCTTCGGGTCATTTACAAAGCACGTAGGGAGGGCCTGCTGTTTGCCAGGCACTGGGCTAGGTCCAAGGGATCCCAGATGAGGAAGATGGGGTCCTGGCCCTTGAGGTGCTCCCAGCTGAGTGGGCAGGACACATGCCAGGAACCAGCATGACCTAGACAGTCCTGGAAGCCAGGAGGCCAGTGCTTAGGAGGCCAGCTTTGAGGTCAGCCCAGATCTAGGTTTGGATCCTGGCTGAGACCCAAGGGAAATTCTGAAGCACTCTGCCCCTCAGTTTCTCCACCTTGCAGCGGGCAAGAATAACAGGAGCTGCTTCACAGGGTTGCCGAGAAAGTTAACTAAAATAATCTCCGGGGAGTGCTCGGCATGTAGTAAGTGGCCAATAAATGGTGGCTTTTATTTTAAAGATTTATTGATTGATTGATTGATTGATTTTAGAGACACAGAGAGAGTGAGAGAGAGAGAGAGAGCACGAGCAGGGTGAGGGGCAGAAGGAGAAGCAGACTCCCCACTAAGCAGGGATCCTGATGCAGGACTCCATCCCAGGACCCTGGGATCATGACCTGAGCTGAAGGCAGACGCTTAACCAACTGAGCCACCCAGGTGTCCCAATTGGTGGCTTTTAATATCAGTTGTCATGGGGGGGGGGGGCGCGAGGGTACATAACAGAGTCCCTTTTCCTGCTGGTGTCCATGAAACCACTTCAGTCCCCATGGTGGCTTCCCACAGATGTGCCTCAGTTTACCACTTTTCTCCCCACCTGCCGCAGTTAAGGGCTGTGAGACAAGATTGGTCTCCTTGCTGCCGCCTGAGCAGAAGCCCCCGTCAGCCTCGGGTGTCCCGTTGTCCCCCCACTCCCCACCCCTCCACCCCCATCAGCACACCCGCCACACGTGCTCAGCGGGGCAGTGAGGTGGCACGGGGCTGGGTGGCCCTAGGCGGTGTCTGCTGTCCTCCCTCCTGCACCCACGCCCAGGTCCCATGACGTGGCCCAGGACCCCAGGGCCATCCCCGCAGGCAGGCTCGGGCCATCTCAGCTCCACGCTGCCCTGAAGTCAGGCTCCCCCTCCTCCTTGTCCTCTCCCTCCCATCTCTCCGCTCTGCTCTCCCGCATTGCTCTCGCTCTTGTTCTCTTCCGTTAAATAATACCGTGATGGATTGTGAAAGGTACTTAGCTGAGTCACGGAGTTTAGAGATGGAAGCGACCAATTAGATCATCAACCTCATCTCTCTCCTGAGGAGAAGCAGAAAATAGGAGACAACGATAAACAATTTTATTGGGATATTAATTTAGGCGCCCGAAGGCCTTGACTCGTGTCTCTTAATATAATGCAGTGGATTTTTTTTTCCCCTTCCCTACTAATGTAATAATGGGGCCATTTTGTGGGCAGTTGGTTTGCATGATGGCTTTTGTTCCCCTCCTTTCCCACGGAAGGTCCAGATGGAGTTTCGGAGGAGCTGGGAGCGCTGGCGGCTCGAGCACTTGCACGTGCAGAGAGACAGCAGCATGAGGCCCCTGAAGTGCCCCACCAGCAGCCTGAGCAGCGGGGGCACGGTGGGCAGCAGTGTGTACGCGGCCAGCTGCCAGGCCTCCTGCAGCTAAGACCCCAGCACCCCCTCCCTGCGGTCCCGCTGCGGGCCGGCTGGCTGTCCAAGGTGGGAGAGGCCCTGTGGGGCTGGGCGGGGAGGGACGCGCTCGCCTACATCCCTGCTTTCCCTTCCCAAACCCATCAGACAGGCAAATGGGCAGTGCCTCCTGGGACCCATGGCCACATTTCCTCTGAAGAGAAGCAGCTTGCTAATTTGATCACGGCGGCAGGAGAAGAGAAAAACCGATGGCTGCTAAGACAAGGAGGATTTCTTGCCGTTAAGCCACCAGGCCCCTGGGGTTCCCCAAGACAGAGCAGCAAATCAGCCCCACATTCACACTCAAGGTCAATGGCTTATTAGCGGGATGGCGGTTTGCAAGAGGAGGTGGTTCAGGAAGAGGCCTGTGTAGCCTCGGCCAAGCAGAGCTTAGGGAAGGTGAGCCAACTCTGCTTGCCTCCGGTAGGGTCACCACCCCTACTGCCTCCTCATTAAGGGACACTGTTCCTGTTTGTCACTTGTTCATCTTGCCCCGTATCTTGCCCCCCAGCTTCTCTGTGGGGGCTTTGTTTGGGCCACCACTGGCAGGTCTTTCTAGAAACGGCTGTGGATAGTGTTGAGAATGAACGCTGAGAATGTGCCCAACAGTTTCCTTTGCTGGTGTGCCCACTTCTCCCGTGGGAGTTTGACCTGCCTTGGTATGCTGCCTGCCGCCACTCTGCCCGGGGAACCAGGGCAGGCCTAGTGCCGAGGAGCCCAGCTCTCTTGTGAGCTCTGAATTCTATTCTAGAGATGTTCTAGAGTCCTCTGGGATTCAACTCGGGAACTCTAGGAAATGCTCACGCTGGGGGGTATAGTGTACCTGCAACCGTTGGGAACCCAGCAAGGCCGAAGCTTTATTTCCACCTCCCTGGGGAAAGGCTTTTTGTGACCAGATTATGTACCTTGCATGGGAGTTTGGGTGTGCCCTCTAAGAGCTGTGACCAAAAAGGGACCTCTGGGGGAAACTACCAGTCGCCCCTGTTACCTCGGAGGCTGTCTTCCCCTTGTCCCTGGTTTCTTTACCATGAAAGTCCGCAACTTGGGAGCCTGTATATACTTTATTCATTTTTTCTTTATTGCTGTGAATGGTCTGCATGTGCAAATGTGTGACTCTGATTTCTCCCACCTGATGGAAAAAAAGAATGAAACCATTGTGATTGTGATGTTGTTGAGGGGAGTGGGGTAGTAACTGAATTGACTCAGCCACATGTTGAGCCAATTGGTGTTTTCCCTGCCTCCAGTTTCATCCCATAAATAATGACCAGCAGAGAGGCTACACAGGGAAAACCTCTCAGTCCTGCCCCCACCACCAGGAGAGGGCAGACATGTAGCAACACTACAGAAACCCAGACAAAAGGGAAAGAGCCATCCCAGGGAGGCTGGCGGTGAAGTTTGCAGATGCAAAGGAAGTTTCCCAAGTAGGAGAGAACTCTTAGAGGAGTCCAGACCTCCTGGAAAGGCAGAGGGAGAGGCTTTGGGTGAATCTCTTTATGGATCCATCCCTCCCTCCTTCTTTTTAAGTGGTGGGGGACCCTCCCCAGAGCCTTGCACCAGACACATTTTCCTGTGCTTCTCAGAGAGGCATGTGATGTACGGGGGAAATAATAATGGTACATAAAACACATCAAGCAGAAAATTTCTTATACTTCAGCTTCAGTGAAGTGTTGTGTCTTTGTTAATGGGGAAGCTGAACCTCAGGCTAAAGGCGAAGTATGCAGAATGGCTCCTGGAGAAAATGTAGAGAGGTGGAGGATGGGGGCACCCCTGCTTCCCCAGAATAAGAGAGGATTTTCCAGCAGGCTCCACTCCTTGACTTTCTCTTTGGAGGGGAGAGCAGGAAGGGGGAAGATGAGTGCCAGTGAGTTGATGGCGGCGGACAGCTCTGTGCAAGTGTTTCAGTTTGGGATAAACAGGAAGATTCCGAGAATCATTAATACACGGCACAGCAGCAAAGAAAGAACGAGACTGATACAACCTGAGAGAAATAACTGGTTGAGGGGGAGGAGGAATTGTTGGGAGAAAGTGTTCAGTTCGGCAGCACCAGGTAAGCTCAGTTTGATTTAAACTGTGAGTAGAGTTCTCTTCCTCCCTGGTAGTGGTGATTCCTGTTCTCAGAAGGCTCATCACATCCCCATGCTCCAAGCCTTGTAACACTGAGGAACTGTTTTCCTTCATAGATACGTATCAGATCCTGAAGAAACATTTTCTTTGCTCCAAGATCCACACTATTAATATTCATTTGATTGGCAGTGCACTGCCACCAAACTATTCTCAAGCTCTCCTAAACTAAATATAACTCAAATGGGTCTGGGAACGATCACATGCAGTGTACTCCCCAAATTCCACTAGCTGTTTACGTGTGTGATGCCCTAAGTGTGGAGCTTGCTGCACACACTCTTATCTGCGTCTGTCCTGGGGTGGGGGGTGAGGGGTACGATTGCTGACCAGCAGGTGTGGATGATGTGTGTGCGTATGTGTCAGCTGTGCAGCTAGCAGGGTCTGGGACTATTGTGAATTGAGCCTGAGTTCAGCACTCTGGCCAGCTCCCCTTGTTAGGGGCTTAAGTCACGGGGCCTCCTCTTTACCTTAGAACAGCTAAATCACAGAACTGAAGCAAACCCCTTACACTGCAAAGCTACTTCAAGATGACTCTCCAGATTGCCCACATGGTTTTCAGTTGCCTCAATGCAGTCCCCGACGAACCCACACCAGCACCATTTTTGAGGACTCGGAGCAGGGAAAGACCCCACCCAGATCCAGAGAAGTGAGGAGGGAGGCTTGCAGAGGTGACTTGCTAGATGGTGGTTGGGCTGGGCCTCCAAGTCCAGTGAGGACTCTGGGAGGAAGGATAGGTAAGAAATATAAACAGCCATTCAAGATCTGCTTAGTAAAAGTTGGTCATGTGTGTCTGGAGTTTCTGTTAGAAAAGGAAATGCAGGAATGCCTGGGTGGCTCAGCGGTTGAGTGTCTGCCTTTGGCTCAGGGCGTGATCCTGGGGTCCTGGGATTGAGTCCCACATTGGGTTCCCTGCAGAGAGTCTGCTTCTCCCTCTGCCTACGTCTCTGCTTCTCTCTGTGTGTCTTTCATGAATAAATAAATAAAAATCTAAAAAAAAAAGAAAAAAAAAGAGGAAATGCAGCAGCAAAGGTAGACAAGTTAGCTCGTGGAGATGCCATCTCCTCAGGGACTTATACTGCAGAGAGGAGGGGAATGCTGCGCTTTGCTATCTCTGCTGTAGTACTTCACTCATCTTGTCTTAAAATTAAGAAACTGAAATGCAGCAGAACACACATGGAAACAGCAAGTGAGCCATTTTGAACAGCAAATCCAGCGATCTTTTAATGAGCTGGCTTAATGGTTTTCTGATGCATCTGTGCTTATTTGACAAATTGTTCTGCTAACCACACAGAGAAAGTGAACTAAAGGTCCTAAGCTTCTCTGGCTCTCTAACCTCCCTGAAGTTGGAGAAGACTAGCAAACTGAGCAGCTTTAGCCTGGCAGGAATGGCACAGCCACCATCAAGGGCGGATAGAGTCAGCTCACATCCACACCCTGAAAGGCTCAGTCACCACCTCAGTGTGGGCCATCTTTCAGCAGCTCCCATCTCCACAAAGAAAGAACACCCTGAGGGTGTGTGTGTGTGTGTCTCCTGTGCACAGCAGCATAAAGTTAGGAGATGATGAATTGGGAATCATGCCACCCACTGTGAAGGTCATGGGACCACACAGTCCAGGACGAAGATGGGCAGGAGCCTGAGCTGTAGATGCTTCCTCTCCATGCACAGACAGGGTTCCATTATTGCTAATGTCTGCGACGTGCTCAGGGAAGGTAAAATATATTCCAGAGGTTTATTTTCCCTCCACTGAATTGATTCTAATCTACGGTGCTGACCCTGCCTTTGGCTCCTACGAGGAGCCACACTCTATAAAAACTCTCAAATAAAATATGTCGGTGTCCTCTGCTAATAAGACAGCTATGTGAATGACATGCTAAGTATTCAACAGAAACCAAATGAGTATCAACTCGAACTTGTTTTCCTTTTCATTGCCTGCAGTGAGTTTTTTGGGGGGAAGAAAATGTGAGAAACTTGTGCAAAAACATTGCCATGTCCCTAAAGTGTTACTTGCTGGCTCAAACCAGCTCTCTGGCCATGCCTGGAGGGCCACATCAGGAAGTGTTGTTAAGCAGTGTAATTCAAACACTTAATGCCACAGTGTGTCTACAGTATCTATAATTACTTCTGCTCTATCAGTGGATACAGATTGGCAGGAAGCAGATAAGCATTATTGTTTTCCCATTAATGACCCAAATCTCCTGCACTTCGCCTACATCTGAATCTATCTGAGGGGAGAGTTTTTGCTTCTTCCCTTTGGCCATTTTAGTCAGTTTCTCAGGACCTTATCTAGCGGTGCATTTTCTCTCTGATGCACCCATGCTCCTCCCCACCCCCACAATACCTCCCTCACCGTTCCCCCCCCCCCATCCTCACAATGAGCTTCCCTACACTCCTCCCCCATCTAGCCACGTTAGGAATGCTGCTCTCTCAGCTGTGACCAATTTGGGGGTGCAGCTGAGAGTGAGGCACTGCCAGGGCTGAAACGATGCACCGCATTCCATACTCTGGCACAGTGAGAAGCATGGCAGCCAGCGGCTTGGATCCTAACTTACATTGGGGTTTTGCAACCTTTCTGATGGGGCCTGTCAAAACTACCAGTAATTAGTCAACCCGGACAATCTAGCATGACTAATTGCCACTGTGTCAGAGCAATCTGGGAGAAGGAAAACATATATAAATGAGAATGCTTGAATGTGGTGAGCAAAAAGCTCCCAAAGTTTGGAACATATAACAAGTTAGGGTCTTGGCTTCTATGCAGGGGAGCCGGTGAGGGAGGGATGTCAGGCAGAAGCAAGAGTCACCCCAGGCAGGGGCTGGACCTTGCCAAATGGCTCACACTTTACTTCCAAGTCTGCAGG